GTAAAGAAGAAAGTGCATTGAGACTGGTAGGAAGTGCGGAGGTGTGGAGGTGTGGAATGGGCTGGCACCCAGGTGCGCTGCTTTTTCAATTGGGAGGGAGACACAAGCTCTCACTTGCTCTGAACTTTAGTTCCGGGCGAGACTCTGGGGGACCCAGACACATATGGGGAGAAACTGGACTGTCTGGCATCAGGACAGGAACGGGAGGGCAGCTTTCTTTCAGATGGAGGTGCTCACAGTCATTTTTCCTGCACCGGGACCTCTCCGGTGCAGGGCTGACTGGCAGCCATTGCTGTTTGCTCCGCCCAAGAGATTCCCTGAAACCTCGCCCCAACCAATTTACAACCCCACCCAAGCTGTGGCAGCAGCTTTTGCATATGAATGGCCTGTCCTTTCTCAGCCTAAAACCTGTCAAACAGGCACCAGCATCAGCATGCCTTGCTACATATCTGGGTCTCATCTGGGCACTTCCAAACCTGATACAAAGAGGAGGAACCTGCAGATCTCTCTGTAGCTCCTGCTGGGTGGCCCCAGGCAGTGGCTGACTTTGCACCTCCTTGGAGATCCAAGAGCCAGTGTACCCAGTGGTCAGTGTGAGACCATACCAGATTACTACTCTTCACATCCATAAGTTAACACTCAAGGGGCAGACTCAGTGAGCACCAAAGCCCCACTGAAGCAAGTCCTGCCCCATAAGCTCTTCCATTGTAGACACAGCTGGTCCTCACAGCCAATTGGCCTGGAGGTCAATTCCTCCCAGTGATACCAATAGCAATCAAGGCTTAACTACAACAAGACTGCACATAGCCCACAAAGGGTTGCACCAAGAGTGTCTACCTCAGGTGACTGGGGAGGCTGAGCCACTGGTCCCTATAAAACACCTACCACACAAGGCCATTCTATCAATTCAAAGAGACTTACCAACTACCCAATACATAGAAACAAACACAGGGAAGCAACCAAAATGCGGAGACTAAGAAAGGTGTCACAAATAAAAGAAATGGATGAAAGCAAAATACTGAATATAGAGTTCAAAACCACAGTTATAAAGTTACTCAAGAATCTTCTAAAAACCTCTAAGGAACTTAGTGAGACATTCAAGGATCTTAGTGAGAATGCCAGAAAAAAAAAAAATGGAAAAGGACCAGTCAGAAATTAAGCATACACTGACTGAAATAAAGAATAATATACAGAGATTCAACAGTAGACTAGAGGATCCCAAGAATCAAATCAAAGATTTGAAGTACGAGGAAGTAAAAAACACCCAACCGGAAGAGCCGTATTCCAGGTAAACTAGAGTGCTTTTAGCTAATAAGCTCTGCTTTAAAACGCAGCACTCGTCTCTATTCGGAACCTGTGTTCCAAGCCAAAGCTCATTTGCAATCCTGAGTCACTTGCTCTCAACCTGTCCAGCACATTAAAGCATAAATCCATGTCACACTGATATACGCTTTGGTTAATGAGTTTGGGTGCCCTTTCTTGGCTATGCATACCTACTCTACCACAGGAATCCTTGTTAAAAGGTAAAGATAAAAATTATAAACAACAAAGTGACAACAAATACATATCTATCAACAAGTGAATCTAAAAATCAAATGAATAAAAAATCTGATGAACAGAACAAACTGGTGAATTTAATAGAATCAGGGGCATGGAAAGGGAACGACTGATGATTCTTGGGGGGAAGAGGGTTTGGGGTGTGTGGGAAGAGATTGGACAAAAATCATACACCTACGGACGAGGACAGTGGGTGGGGGAGCGAGGGCCTCGGGTAGGGTGGGAACCGGGTGGAGGGGAGCTATGGGGGGAAAAAAGAGGAACATCTGTAATAATCTGAACAATAAAGATTAAAAAAAAAAACCCAAAAAAACTTTTTAAAAAAAGAAGTTGGTTATTATACTTACTGTCCTAATCTTGTGGTAAAGGTAGTATTAAGAGTTTGCAAGTACTTCAGATTTACAAAACGGAATGAAAGAGAACATTATACAACCATCCTGCTGTGCCTTTAGTGCAATACAATAAAACTCTGAAATCAAGACTTACTTTCAGCGCATTGTTTTAAAGATTACAGTTAGCAATTTCATGAACTTGCTTAATCCACAATAAAGACATATTACTGTCAATTAAAATAAGAAGAAGAAATCAATATGGAATTGACTAAATAGTATATAAAAGCAATGGCTACACCACCCTTTAGAGGAGACAGAGCTTTGGCTATGAATCCTGTCTCCTTTACTTGTTACAAGTAAATAAAACTACTTTACAACAACCATGTCTTGCTCTTGAATGGAACACCCCAAGTGGCAAACCCCTTGAGTTTGGTAACAAATTTGGTGATTCAGATGGAACTCTCCTAAGTGACTCGCTCTCTGCCTGGTATGGATGCTTGGTGAAGCAGTCAGCAGTGGCAGCTCATCTGGGGTTTACTTGCTTGCGCCTCCACTGGACAGAGGGTCTGTTCTTTAGGAGACTCCCACTTGGTGCTGACCATGGGAGTGGTTGCCTGGCCCTCCTCGACAGTGAATGGAGTGGCTATCTGAACCTGCTTTTTCAGGACTTCAGAAGGGAGGTGGGTAGGTCAGCCCCTGTGGCCACTTTAATTGGTGTTTCTATTCCCATTTTGGTCATGTCCCGGTAAATGATTACATATGGATACATTAAAAAAATAAGAAGAGTGGGGTTTTTTTCCCCCTTTAACTTGAATATTACCCCTGTATATTGCATTGAATGAAAGATTTCCCATGTTTCCATCAGAGTAATATACTTGCTTTAATTCTTAAGCATAAGGAAATCCTATATAATAAAAGGCTAATATGCAAATAGACCGAACAGTGGAGCAACCGAACAGCCAAACAACCGGTCGCTATGATGTGTGCTGACCACCAGGTAGTTTTGGTTCTGGGTCGCTTGGTTTTTGGTTGGTCAGACAGGAACTGTCTCCAGGATGCCGAATTAAGGGACCAAACTATATCTTAGTCTGGAGGGTTGAGGAATGCCTGCAGGACAATCCAAGACATCCTTGAGTGACAACCCCTGGTCTGGTACTCTTTGTGCATCGGCCTTGTTTGTCTTTTATGTCAATGTGCCGGCTATGGGAAACTCAAATTTGATCCATAAATGCAGCTCCTTAGAGTGCATTCTTCAGGGCTGGATAAAAAGAGCCGTTTATTTGACTTAAAGAAATTAAACTCTGACAGAAATGAAGAAATATAACAGATGTCAATGGCATGGAACAGCCTGTCTTGTCCCAGGCAGCCTTGCACCAAGCTGGGTTTGGGAGGCACTGTTTTCTAACTGTAGCTTCTTTGCTTCCTCAGGTTTCAGCATTTACTAACCATACACAGCTTCTCCCCTGAAACTCCGCTCTGCTTCCCCCAAGGAATGCACTTTCTGGAGCACCCGCAGCCAGCATGGAAGTCATGATGGGAAACGGGCCTGGCACCCCAACAACCTGAACAACCACGAGGTTCCCATCGGACAGGCGCACCACCTTCACCAAGGAAAACAAGCAAGTGAGCTCATGGTTTCCAGTGGAAGTGATCTGGGACCAGCAAGACTGGGTGTCAGAGGTTTGGCTGTGGGACTCAGGGGCCAGTCTATCTAATGGTGTAAAAATATATGCTTGGGGTTCTATGGGAAGAATTACTAGTTTTATCTATGAGCTGTTTAAATAAGACTCCCACTGCTTCAATTTTTCTTCAGTGATTTATAATTTTCTGAGCACAGGACTTTTACATCCTTGGTTAAATTTATTCCTAGGTATTATTCTTTTTGAAGCAATTGTGAATGGGACTGTTTTCGTAGTTTCCCTTTCTGATAGGACACTGCTGGTGTGGAAAAATGCACTGATTTCTGGATATTTATTTTGTACTCTGCTACACTGCCGAATTCGTTTATTAACTAAAGGAGTTTTACTTCCTCCTTTCCAATTTGGGTGCCTTTTATTTCTTCTTCCTGTCTGATTGCTGTGGCTAGGACTTCCAGTACTGTGTTGAATAAGAATGGTGAAAGCGGACATCCCTGTTTTGCTCCCAAACTTAAGGGACATACTTTTAGGTTTTGCCCATTGATATCATGATGTTGGCTGTGTATTTGTCATATATGGCCTTTATTACATTAAGGTATGTTCCCTCTATTCCCTCTTCGCTGAGAGTTTTTATTATAAATTGGTGCTGAATTTTATAAAATGCTTTCTCTGCATCTATTAATATGATCATGTGGTTTTTAATCCTTCATTTTGTTTATGTGGTGTATCACATTAATTGATTTGCAGATATTGTACCAACCTTGCATCCCCATAAATAGAACGTAATATTAAAACCAAGAAAATGACACTGGCACAATCCATAGAGCTTACTCAGAGTTCACCAGTTATATATGCCCTGTGTGTGTGTGTGTGTGTGTGTGTGTGTGTGTGTGTAGCTCTATGCAATTTTTTTCATGTGCTTTTTGTACATAAACTATACTCTGTTCTACCATTTTTTAATCCTCACCTAAGGATGTGTTTTATTGACTTTAGAGAGAGAGGAAGAGAGAAAGAGAGAGTAAAACATCAATCAGCGGCCTCCTGCATGCACCCCAACTGGGCACCAAACACACAACCCAGATATGTGCCCTGGCCAGCAACCAAACCAGCAACATTTTGGTGTATGGGATGATGCTCCAACCAACTGAACCACTTGGCCAAGGCTGTTCTACCAATTTTAAATATGAAGTCAGATGATGAGAATGAATAAAATGACTTCCTTCAATAAAACAATATCTACCAACAATTACGTGCATGACCAGTTTTCCATATTTAGTTGTAATTAAGAAAGAAAAGGGAGAAATCCTACAAACCTCAGCTCTTGGGAGCACTAGTCCATGCTACATGCCTTTATAGGAATATTTTCTGGAGCTGATGATAGGCATGAAACAGTGGAACCTGATTTATTGATAATTATGGCAGCAACAGTCTCTCATGTCAGAAACCTCTATCAGTAAAAGGAAGGTGATCTTACCTTGCCTTCATATTTAGTCTTGTCATCTTCCTTTACCAGGGAGTCCAAACCTTTCTCTGCATAAGGTTCCGCAGATGTTTTCTGAAGAGGAGCTAAAGGGACAGAGAAAACTGACCATTAATTTGGTGATTTGGCTTATAATTAACTCAGCGCTTAGCCTGAACAAGCAACTGGACTGTGTTGAGGCAGTTGATAAGCAAAGCTAAACTGAGTTGCTGTGATGGTTTCTGAGGTGGTAGGTAAATGTGGAGATGAAGGAGAGATGCAAATGTGGAATAGAGTCCTTGACTCCAGGCGCTTGACATTGATCTGAAGGGACAAAGTCACATCCAACATCACTCGAAACATCCAACCACAACAAACCAGTAAATGATGTGATGTGGTAAAAACCATAGCTTCCATCATTCCTATTTGTAAGGCGAGCTAAAGTATTACTTTCTTTATGAAATCTTCCTTGACTTTCAAACTTCACAAATTCCTTTATGCACTGCTGCTTGAGCATTTACATTTGTACTGTATTTGATGTTATTTTTGGATTTGAAAAGCTGATTCAAGTCTAGGTATCACATACTACTGAATATATGTTGCCATTATACAGGTGTGCTTATTATAGAAAATTTGAATAATACTAAAATTGTACTATTCTTGACCACTACTACTTGGTATATTTCCTTATAATCTTCTTTGAAATGCTCTTGCTCTCTCTCTTTACACACACACACACACACACACTCATACTATGATTTTATGCGGGGATGTCCATGCATGCCTTAGCCAGAAGGAGTTGTTGCTAATGTGATGATCTAGCAATTGGATTCCAGAAAAGATGGAATCACATTTATTAGTGGATAATATGACCGTGGGCAGAACCAGTGGCTGAGTCAGGAGGGAATTGAGCTTCCTTGCTCTTGCTTTCTTCTCTCTGTCACTCTATTTCCCTCTCTCCTTCTCACTGGCTTCTCAGACATCTGGGAGATAACTTTTTTTTCAGGCTTCATGGCCACTGGCAGTAAGATTGGAACTTACTGAGAGGGATGCATTGGGGGTGATGGCTACAAGGCTAATATGTAAGTGGTACTTTCGTTCTTATTTATCAGCGTCACTACCTTGTACCTATAGTTCCCTTGAGAAACTCAGAGGATACAGGTGATTAACCTGAGACAGGATTTGAGCATCTCTAGGTCCCATGGCCAGAATGCCATCCATCTAACGTCACAGTTGTATCATCCTGATTCTTATCTGTGGTGGCCTAGTTGGAGGTTGACCATCTAACTTTCAGAAGCCCTTTGCTACCCTCCAGTTCTGTGAGCCAACTGAAAGCAGTTTGGCCTTGCCATGGGTTTTTCATGGAGGTCATATTGAAATATGGAGTGAAGTACATGTTTGCTGTCCCAGGTTATATGACCACTGAAGCTACTCTACAATGGGCAATCCTCTGGGCTCCTCCCTTACTTTCTTCAGGATCTCTGTAAGCTGAGAGATTCCAGGTATGACAACTGGATGCTAGAAATGCATTCACTATAATTGGCAAAACCCATGGCTGAGAAGCGCCTGCTCTTAACACTATTAAGTACAGTGACAAAATTAGAGGCAGGCATGTGGGAGCCATACTGCCATCATTTAAGTCTTGTTCTTTCATCTACGAGAGACACATTATGGAGGAATCTTTGTGCCTTAGCTTCTTCAACCAGAAAGTAGGGGATAATGAGAAAGCCTATTGGATCAAGTCACTAGGAGGCTTTAATGAGTTAATATGTACAAAGTGTGTAGATCATGGTAAGCACTCAGTACATTTTAGCTAGTATCATAGCTACATGGCATTAAAAATATTTTTCCACATTCCTTGTTTAATTTCAGAGAGGTGAGATGTGGTACCCAAGACAACCAGCTAACGAGAGTCAGACCTGGCCTTTCACCTCCCATCGCTAAGCTCCCTGCTATGTTCCTTACACTGTGAAATGAGTTTATCTTGGCACAGACTCAGTTGCTAAGGAATCGGACAAATGTGTTTGAAAATCCTGTGAGCGACCTGCCTGGGTAGAGTCCACACTCAGTAATTACTCTCCAAAACAAAAGCAGAGAATTGTTCTGCAGAAGGAGCGCGTCGCTGGACCAAGGTCAGTGGTACCCGTTCAGACATGATGAATCTCTATTTACCTGAGCAGGGTCATTACCTATTTTGAAATCATGTATTTGAATCCTGCTTTGTTTACTTGTAACAAACACATATCCCTTAAAATAAGGAGAGAGGCAAAGTGGTGGAGGCTAAGTTAGTTACCTCTAATAATTTAGAAGTAAACATAATTTACTTTTGGCAAAGAGCCCTAGATGAGAGATCAGGAGAATCAAGTCCTGTTTCCAGCCATCCAAGAGGGATGTCTCCATGGGTGCCAGTGTTTGTGCGTATCTGTGGTATGTGCCTGTAAGTGTGTCTGAATATGCGTGTTGAGTGTGTTGTGTATGTGTGTGTGTATGGAAAATTCAGGAAAGAAATGCACTAAACTATTTACAAAGCTTATTTCTAAAAAACTGGAATATTAAGAGACAGTTGTACTAAATGGAGAATTTCAAAAGATCCCATAACTTTCAGATAACTAACAAATGAAAGAATTAGTTGCAAATAATGTTGCACAACAAGAAATGCTAAAAGAATTTTTTCATCTTGAAGTGAAATGACACAAGATGGTAATTCAGTTAAAGGAATAAAGAACACTGAAAATGGTGACTAGGATGGTAAATATAAAATAACATATATATTTTTTCCTTTCTCTTGATTTCTTTAAAAGATACACGATTGCTTATAGCAAAAATTTATAACACAATATTGGGGAATTTAACATATGTAGATGCAAGATTTATGATAAGAATAGCACAGAGGATGGGTGGGAGGAGTGTGAAACTATACCGCTGCAAGTTTCCTATATTTTACTACAACATTAACTCAAAGTAGACTGAGACAAATTAAGGATGCATATGATAATACCTAAGAGAAGCATCTGGGGAAAAACAGTGCAAAGATGTATGTATGCTAAAAAGTCAATAGAAGAATTAAAAAGGAAGACTACAAGAATTTGCTAACCCAAAAGTAAGTAGGAAAGAGGAAGAGAGAAATAAATAAAACATGAGACAAGTAGACCACAAATAACAAAATAGTAGCTCTAAATCCAACTGTGTCCTTAATTACATTGTATATAAATAGACTAAACACTCCAATGAGAAGGCAGAGGTTAACAGAATGTATTTTTTTAAAAAAGCAAGATCCAACTATATGCTGCCTACAAGAAGTATACTTTAAAAAGAAAAACAAATAGAAGAATGGAAAAAGAGTCTCGGGCAAACACTAAGCATAAGAAAGCTGGGATGTCTGTATTAATATAGACTTTAAGACAAATAGCTTTACTAAAGATAAGGAAGAAAGGAGAGACTTTTTATAATTATAAAAGGGCCAGTATATCAGGAAGATAAAACAACTATGAATGTGCATTTTCTTTTCTTTTTCTTTTTTTAAATATATTTTATTGATTTTTTTACAGAGAGGAAGGAGGAGGGACAGAGAGTTAGAAACATTGATCAGCTGCCTCCTGCACATTCCCTACTGGGGATGTGCCCACAACCAAGATACATGCCCTTGACCGGAATCAAACCTGGGACCCTTGAATCCGTAGGCCGACGCTCTATCCACTGAGCCAAACCAGTTAGGGCTGAATGTGCAGTTTCTTAATAACGGCATTTCAAAATAATGAAGCAACAAATGACATCATTTCCAAGAGTGGTTTTTCCCAGACTGTATGATTGTTTTAACACTTCAAAATAATCACTGTAATCCATCATATTAACAAAAAGGGAGGAAATCATATAATCATCTCAATATATAGCACCAAAAAAAGCATCTGAAAAATTTGACAATCATTCATGATGAAAACTTTCATCAAACTAAAAATGGAAGGGAATGTCCTCAACCTGATAAAAAGTATCTATAAAAAACCTACTAACATCAAACTTTAAGTGAAACATGAATTCTTTCCCTTAATATTAGGAAAATGCAGCAATGGCTGCACTTCTATTCAACATTGTACTGGAGGTCCTAGCCATTAAAATAAGACATGGGGGGGTGGGGAGTCATAGAGATTGAAATAGAAGAAGTAAAATTGTCTCTTTCCTAGATAATATGATTGTATTTTCATTTAGAAATATATTCCTATTAAGAGTTATATATGGTAATTCTATTTACTATAGGGTTAAAAAACATTAAATTCATAAGATCTTTTCATTACAAACTACTATGTTGCCAAGAGAAATTAAAGAGGACCTAAATAAATGGAGAATTATATAATATTTATGAAATTGGAAGACTCAATATTGGTATAATAACAGTTCTCCCCAAAGTGATCTATATAATTAATGCAATCTAAATCATAATCCCAGCAGAAATCAAAAGGGGATTCTAAGATGTATATGGAAATGATGAGATCCTAAAATAGCTTTAAAAATCTTGAAAAAGAACTAAGTTGGAAGACCTACACTACCTGATCTCAAGGTTTAGTGATAAACTATAGTAAGACCATGTGGAAGAATAAACTCAGAATGGATAAAAGACTTATCTGTAAGCCACAGAACCATAAAAGTCCTAGAAGAAAGCATAGAGAGTAAAATCTCAGACATCTCTCATAGCAATATTTTTGTTGACATATCTCCTTGGGCAAGGGAAACAAAGAAAAAAATAAGCAAATGGATTACATCAAACTAAAAAGGGTTTGCACAGCAACAGAAACCATCAACAAAATGAAGACAATGCACTGACATATTCGTCAATGATACATCTGATAAGGGGTTAATTTCCAAAATATATAAGCAACTTATAACAACTCCACACCCGGAAGATAAAACAACCAATTAAAAAATTGGCAAAGGACCTGAATAGACTCTTCTCCAAAGAGGATATACAGACGACCAACAGACATGTGAAAAAATGCTCAATGTCTCTAATAATCAGAGATATGCAAATTAAAACCATGATGAGATATCATCTTACACCTGCCGGAATGGCTATCACCAATAAGTCAACAAACGAGTCTTGGTGAGGATGTAGAGAAAAGGGAACTCTAACATACTGCTGGTAGGAATGCAGATTGGTGCAGCCACTGTGGAAAGCAGTATGGAGTTACCACAAAATATTAGATAGAAATGCCTTTGAACCAGTGATTCCACTTCTGGGAAAATATCCTAAGAAACCCAAAACACAAATGCATCCCTATGTTCATTGCAGCATTATTTACAATAGCCAAGATCTGGAAATAGCCCAAATGCCCATCAGCAGATGAGTGAATAAAAAAAAGCTGCGGATCTCAGTGTCCTTAAGTAAAAAATAAAGCGTCACGACCCAAGTGCCCATCAGTTGACGAATGGATAAAAGGCTGTGGTACAGTTACACAATGGAATACTATGCGGCTATAAAGAATAAGGACCCCTTATCAGATGTGACGAATATGCTCTCTCATTCAGTGCATTGTCTTCATTTTGTTGATGGTTTCTTTTGCTGTGCAAACCCTTTTTAGTTTGATGTAATCCATTTGCTTATTTTTTTCTTTGTTTCCCTTGCCCAAGGAGATATGTCAACAAAAATATTGCTATGAGAGATGTCTGAGATTACCTTTCGTGACAGCATGAATGAACCTGGAGATTATTATGCTAAGTTAAATAAACCAGTCAGAGAAAGATAAATGCCATATGATCTCATTTACATGTGCAATCTAATGAACAAAATAAACCAAGAACAAAACAGAATCAGAGGCATGGTTACATGGAACAGACTGACAGCTGTCAGAGGTGAAGAGGGTTGAGGGATTGGATGAAAGAAAGTGAAGGGGCTGACCATAGACACAGACAACAGTGTGGTGATAGCCAGAGGCTAGGTGGAGGTGGGTAAAGTTGGGGGGAACTGGGAGGGAAAAAGACTTTGCTTGGGGCAATAGGCACACAATGCAATGTGCAAACGATGTTTTATTGAATTGTACACTTGGGACCTGTATAGTTTTGTGAACCCCAATATATTAAATTTAAAAAAAAAACTTACGTGGCATTATAATAAGGACTTATCTATTTCTTTAATCTTTTCAAAGAACCAACTTTACCACTCCATTGCTAATAGAATCTGGTGGGACTTTCAAAGGTCCTTAATGGAGTCTATTTATGCAGATGTTACTTGCGCATTTATATTATTCCTCTGCTAGACTATGAGCTTCTCCTTGCACCGAGGCACTTAGTTTTATCAAACTTTATAAGTTCCTCAATGCCTGTAGTATTTTATATCTGTGGTTTATTTTGAATACTATCTGTCAAAACAATAACCACTGTTCATCTTAAAACAACCACAATGTCTACCCTCATGAAACAAAGCCATAAAGCTTCCTTCCCCAAACAACCTACCCACGATGGAAGGCTGGCTGGTTTTTGGTGACACCCATTTTGGGGAGGACTCAGGATGGGGGGCCACAGGTTGCACTGGACGAGTCTGTCTGGCTGCCAGTTTCATCAGACTCACTTGCCTCTTGTGAAAAATTTCCTGTACATCTCCCAGCTTCTGTAGGACTTTCTGGGCGTTGGCCTGCAGGAACAAAAGCAAATCATGAGATTGCTCTGCACTGAGCCTGAGGACATGACTCATTCCCTTTCACCCATCTCCCCCTTTCCCCACGCCCAACCTTCCTCATAGGCAAGTCATCCATGTCTCACCTTACACCAGAATGTGCTCCTAGGAGTCTGAACCTCCCATTGATTGGCAACGACTGTGTTTCACTACTGCATCTCCAGAGCAGAGTAGTACTCGCTAAATATATGGTGAGTGGATAAATGTTCACTCAGCCCTGTCCATTAATGTAGAAAAGGATGCCATAGGCCATGGACGAAGGGCATTAGGACAACTTACAGAACAGGGGAATTTAAAAATAAAGAATGTACCCTGAATAAAGGCCTTGATGGATAAAAGAGTTTAAGTGTTCTGGGGAAAAGAATTGAGTAAGTTCTGAAACAGAATCAGGAAAATCACAAGCACCTATAATTAAAAAACACACACAACAGCTCAGTTGTTATGGCTCAGTGGTTGAGCATCAACCTATGAATCAGGAAGTCACAGTTCAATTCCCAGTCGGGGCACATGCCTGGGTTGCGCACTACATCCCCAGTAGGGGAAGTGCAGGAGGTAGCCGATCGATGTTTCTTGCTCATCATTGATGATTCCTTCGCTCTCCCTCTCCTTCCTCTCTGAAATCAATAAAGAATCCTATATAATAAAAGGCTAATATGCAAATCGACCAAACGGTGGAACAACCAGTTGCTATGATGCACACTGACCACCAGGGGGAAGATTCTCAAGGAAGGAGCTGCCCCCTGGTGGTCAGTGTGCTACCATAGGGGGAGCACCACTCAGCTGACTGGGATAGAACAACGGGGAATGACTGGTCACTATGACACACACTGACCACCAGGGGGCAGACACTCAATGCAGGAGCTGCCCCCTGGTGGTCAGTGCACTCCCACAGGGGGAGCTCGGCTCAGCCACAAGCCGGGCTGAAGGCTGCAAGCACAGTGGCGGTGGTGGGAGCCTCTCCCGCCTCTGTGGCAGCATTAAGGATGTCCAACTGCCAGCTTTGGCCCCAGTCGGACATCCCCCAAAGGCTCCCGGACTGGACTGCGAGAGGGCACAGGCCGGGCTGACCCCCCCCCCCCCCCATGTGCACAAATTTCGTGCACTGGGCCTCTAGTATATACATTTTAAAAATCCACACAACACATGTAAGTGTTATTCAGTGTGACTCCTTCTCTCTATATAAGTAGGAAAGAAAGAAACTGAAGAAATACCAGGGGAGAAATGAACCTCACAGAC